TTTCCTCAGTTGCGTGAAGTCAGTCGAGGACCTTGACATATTTGGCACTTTTGCGTGAACCATAAAAAGTTTTCTGGAATTCAAGCAACATCATTTCTAAGTTGATTCAATCGTAGCATACGTTTATGATGACAGGAGCACGGAAGCCGTTGTATTTGGCGCTAATACTGAGAAAGGCTTAGTAAATTTCCAATATTCCTAATTTGCTTTTCGGTGAAGAAAGCTATTCAAGCTCAGATGGAGTACATACTGCCTAAAATTAGACCCCCATTTTGTTATTACCTACTACAAAATGGTGGTACATTTAATAATTACCTAAATACATTGACATTTAACTTGATAATTCGAATAAATACGTTGAGTTCAGTTTAAAGGATGCTGGAAATGGTTGCCTTGAACTTCTTGACACAAAAACAGCCGGTCCGTAATTTCGCGTCGAACATTTTCAAACATAGTTATATCGATATTTCTACAAATATTTGTTATTTTCAGCCGTATATCCAATATTGAAGCAGGTTCAGTTTCGTACACCTTTTACTTCAAATAGCCCCATGAAAAAAAGTCTAAAGGTGTCAAATCTGGCGAGTGAGCTGGCCATTCCACAGGAACTCGAAGGCCACTCCAACGACCGGGGAAATTGTTTTCTAAATAATTCCTAACTTGTCTGTAGTAGTGTGATGGAGCACCATCTTGCTGGAATAAAATATCAGTATCGAATTCGTTAGGATTCGCTTCGACGATTTCGGTGATTAGAGGGTCAATAATATTTTCCAGCATATCCAAATACAGTTCCCCGGTTAAAATTTGTTCGATGAATAGAGGCACCACAATATGATTTCCGAATATTCCAGCCCAAACGTTAATTTTTTGTGGATATTGAGTATGAGTTTTCCGGAAGACGTGCGGATTGGTGTTACTCCAATAACGACAATTTTGATACTTATTCTTTTTCAAAAGTCTCCATACGGTAGAAGGACAAACCTCACATACATTCGCGATAGAGGAGGTAGACTGTTGGAGATTTACTATGATCTCACCAATTATATGAACTTGCTTTTCTTCCGGGGTGGTCAGATGATCTGGGGGCTTTTTGTTGTTTACACTACCAGTAGCTGTAAATTTAGATACAAGTTTCCTTAAATATTTTCTACAGATAGGACGATTCGGGAAACGATCATTAAAAATCCTTTCGGTCGGTTACGCGTCGCACCATAAATAAAAATCGTTTCGATTTTTACTTCCAATGGACGATAATTAACCATTTTAAAAATAGTTCAAACAATATGGAGCACTAAAACCGAAAACTAAATAAGAATATTTTAACTGTACAATAATGTTTGTTTTCGTCCTGATATTCTTGTCACTGTCAACAAAAAATAACAAAACAAGTTTTTATCGCTGTTGCTGGGGATACGGCAGGAATTACAATTATTTGTAGAGATATGCATATTAGTGGGTTTGTGTTCAAGTAATTATTAAATGTACCACCATTTTGTAGTAGGTAAAGGTATTGACTTTATATTCTAGGGTTTTAAAGTACTCGTCAGGAGCTTCAAAATGATGTACCACAAGACCCCCGTTTACATATAATTGTTTTACAAGATGGCGCCCAGCGGCAATCTTTACATTTTGTTCTGTCAATTTTACTCTAAAATATGTTATCTACGCATCAATTTCATTACCACAAGTTTTAATTTTTTGAATTGATCCGTTCAAAAAATCAAATGGGAGGGGGCATTAAAGAATAGCACTGTATGATATGAAAATTGAGTGCAAGAGCCGAACTATTAGTAGAGAATGTTTAATCATTATGGATTCAATCCTTAAACAAGTATCTAGTATAAATTTAAAAGTGATACATAGTTTTGACTCCATGGCAATCAAAATTGCAGGCGTACACCTATTTTTCTGCTCCTCATTATCTCTTTATCCCGGAGGTCATCAATAGCTTTAGCTATTCTAGGCAGACTCGATTTCCACTTATTGATTTTGCTCATTATACAAATACCCTTCCAATATGGAAAGGGATTCCAAATAATAGCGAATAGTTGGTTAGGCTAGCAGAGAAAGAGCTGGTTTTGCGGGAAAAAAACAAACACTTGCTATTCATTTAAATGACAATGAAATATCTAAATGGACCAACTAAAGTTGAACGCAGTATCTTTACATTTATAAAAATATATGCAATCCCTTTCAAAAATCCTCCTGACGACTTGTTCTTTGAACAGGTCAAGCTAGAAAACTGAAATTCGTCGAAGTGATGAAATTGATTCATGGTATGCTTTAACATCAAAGTGGTAGTTGAAAATTTCGAAATGGCGCAGGGGTTGTGTATATGAATGATGGAATGGTATTTCCAATACTCAGACTACATTGTTCTACTACATTTGCATTTGGAACAACTGAAGGCAAATGACAGGGAATGTGCTAATGAACTGATTTTGAGGAAAATTCAATTGCAAGTTTAAAAGTTTAATACCCTGGTCTAGTGCTCGCCACCTTTAGAATATGATTTTCAGTGTGTTTTAAAAAAATAGTAATCTTTTTCATTCCCACAAGGACATTTGGATATCTTCTTTAACTATTTCGGGGGACACTAGAAAATAATTGCTTCTCATAGTAAACAATAGACGAAATGAGCCTCTGCCCTATGCTACCCAGTACCGTCAACTGCGATTTTGTGGGGCAATCCCTCTTCTATTTCGCCTACCGTTAAGCCATCTAGTTACATACTAAACAGACCACCAAACATTTACAGTCAATTTTGTGTGATTTTTTTAGAGTACCCATTTAGTTCACATGAATTTGTCATTCGGTCGGTAATAAAAACTTTCCAAAAGGAATTAGCAATTTCCAGGAAAGTTTGGCTCTCATTTCTGTACCCCACTGTTTTCGTCTGTCGAAATATATCCGTGATAATCACCTATTAAGCCTTCCAAGTTTGGAACGATTATCAGGAGAAATTTTTAGCAATTACAAGGAAGACACAAAAGAAACTTCAGCGGTGTAATTTTTATAGCCGCGAAATAAAGACCCCTTACACTAACTTTTATTTTTAATCCTCCAGAGTGAATTCAGCGTCTTTTTCTATTGTGTTTTCACGGTCTTTTTTATTTCACAAGAACTATATTTCATTTCTGCAATGGAATAAGCACGATCCCTATTATGCCTCGTTACTATAACGTTGTTCCTTATTTAGAATTATAAACAAGAGAAAAATGGAGTTATTCGGAAATGAAACTCCGTAGCCCAGCATCCAGTTCATAAGAAATCAGAGACTCGTTCACAACGACTCAAATAGCACAGGATGATTCAGTAAGCAAACAAAAATGTCTACACCACTGATGAGGCTAATTAAGAACCAAACATTTTGGAGAATATCGAAAAAACGCTGTGATGTGACGATATTTTCTCCCTAATGAATATACAATCTTCAATGAGAAAGTTCAGTAGGTTTTCAAAGAACAGATTCAAGCTTTTTATATGGATTGTACCTGAAATGTTCAAACCAGACAAAAATTTATCAACAGAGACAATCTATATGAAACTTTGTAACAAATCTAAGAATCCAATATTGTATGTTCCCAAAAACTCAGCGGCGCTATCAACTGTTTACCAAGTATTTTGAGTCTTAACTAGCTTATGTAGCTATAGAAATCAACCATATGTAACACTCACAGAAATAAACTGCAAAGTCTTATTTTATCCATTGGGACCGAAAAAGAATATCGATTTCAACCCTCTATGAAGTCAGATATATTTCAGGATACAATAAGTACTACGACAGACTTAAGCAGAAGGTGAGCCTTGGACCGACCTCCCAATAACAAAAGCCCTATATAAAAGTGTCACCGTTTTTAAGATATTGAATTTTTTTCATAATTTTAAAAAAACGAACCTTTTCATCTGTGGTCTTTAGCTGCATGTACAAATAAGGCTATACTTTGTTCATTTTTTCTATATAATACTTCTAGATAGTTGCTTTATCATATACAAATGCAATGTAGTTAAAAGATATTAAGGAACCATGATAAAATAAGTGATGGGATTTATAGCCGTCTGATATTGTTTCCTCAACTTTGACCATCTGTGGTCAAATAAAAATGTATTGGGCTATAACTTCATTATATTTTGTGTTGTACTATTTAGCATTCTATTTAACAAATGGGTGATCTATATGAATTTGAGTGAAATTTTCATACATGTAAATCATTCATTACTGCATATAGATCGAAGGTGTAGATGAGGAATAAGAGAGGACCTAGGATAGATTCAGGCAGCAGCGGTGGCCGCAGTAGTAGACTCTTCGGTCTCCTGATCAGTCGCCGTGCGCTGTGCGGGTTCGAGTCCCGTCACAGGAGAAATTTTTCTCTTGGCTATGGATGTTGTGATTGTCCCTAGGTGGTAGACGGTCTCTGACTGTCGAACGTGGGAGTACCACCCGGCGGATCTCGTAGGTGGAGCCAGAATGTGTCGCATGCACACGTGTTCCCTCGCCAGAGTCCGTGTGGCGTTCCCCCTTTCCCCTGTATCCCCTTATAGCCCCACGGTACCGATGGGTGTTTAGGCCTTAGGCCTTCGTGGTAGTTGGAGTACATGTACATCCAACTGGACCAAAAGTAAACTTAAGGATTTTAAAATACAGCACTACAGATAATTTCAAATGGGCCGCTAAGGTTTAATGACTTAACTAAATTAGCGACTGATATATTTAAAGCTATTTTTTCGACCGCATCACAGACAGCCAAGGGTAAATAAATCTACAATAAAAAGAATACAAGATGGGTTAAACACTAAAAACTAATCAGAGAATGACCTGCAACTTACAATGTCCTTGCCATCTATGTACATATGGATTTAAACTCTCGGGACCTCATGCAACCAGGCTTTTATTTGTTTTTTAAATAAATCAAAATTATTTACTTTTCTGTAAAACACTGGGATGGTATTGAAAATTCTTGGACAGAGAAAAATCCAGGATCTTTGTATGAGTGTTTTCTCCGGCTTTTGGGACTAAATTGTGAGACATCATTTTCTGACGGGTGCCATAGCAAGTTCAATTTGCTTCAATGAAGTCCTATGTTTGTACTGAAAAGTAATGAGATTGTACATATACAGGGTGTAGACGTTATGGTAGTTATTATTGAAATGGGTAATAGGGGGGTCAAAACAAGTCAAAACAAGTCAAAAAGTTCATATGACGCATAGTCCAAAAGTCAATAGATTTTGGTCTAAATGGCTTTATAGTTTACAACTTTAAGTACTTTATATCGATCACAATCACCGCAATCTTACTAATTTTTATAAACTAATCTAAAACGTTCTTAAATTGGGTAATTAACAAATAAATGGCATTCAGTTTTTCTAAGTTAAGCCAAAATTTGTAGTCAGTAAGTAAGAAGTTTCATTAAATTAAATATTTAAAACACACATGACAACAGCGGGTCGGTCTTCCATCACTCTTATCGAACCAGCAATCGATCGAAAACGGTAACATTGGTTAGTTATCCTTTGCATAGTTTTGCGGCGTTGTCAGATTTATTTTACTGTAAAGTCGCTTTTCTCTAAAAAAATGCCGTTTTGACCACCATGTCATACGAAACTTTTTGCTTCTTTTAACCCCCTCTATCACCCATTTAAATAATGACTATCATAACGTTTACCCCCTGTATAACTGACTGCCATCAAAAAGTATATATTTTACACATCCGAAATTTCTGATATGACTTGAGGCCGCAACTCCCCATCCAATGAGCTTAAGTGAAACTGAACAAGTGCAAAATATAATGTTTTCAGTCAGTAATCCTGTTAGATGCTTAAATTTTGGCAACAGCATTCTATTTTTTTTTCAGGGTGTTATTCTATATGCGTCGTCCATTTCAAGTTCTCATCAAGGATAATGCATAGATATTTTATGTCACCGATGTGTTTGATAATTATTGTGTTATTTGAACTCAGATTAATATTTAGCGTGTCGTACTCTGGCAAGTGATTTTTGTAGGAAGCAAGTTGGTTTTTGCGATATTCACGGTCAGAAGTTTACTGTTATAAAATTCAACAATAATTTTAAAATCATCCTCAATGAGTATTTTTATTTTATATTGAGGATGTACTAATTGTATATGAGCCTGTTTGGCTGACTTGACTCACCTTATTTTTTGTTATACAGGGGAAGTGCACTGCACAGTCAACCTACTTGACTGCATTCTTTCCTTCGGTGTCGTCTCCGACTCTTACTAACCTCAATCAGTTCAAAAATTGCATCAAAAGAATTTCTTCGTCTTTGTGACATATGTAGACCCCGATATTTACCGGCTGCTCTAGTATAAAGAAACAACCATCCTATTAAACATTCATGATGAGATTTTGCGGTACGAGTTCAGCAGAAAATCTCATATCATAATGAAGTAATTTAAATTTCTACTGCATCAACAAACTCGATTGTTATCAAACAAACACCAATTATAATGCAAAAGGTATATGAGATTACACAAGTTATTGGCGCTGAAAAGTGCAGACTGTTAATTACTCGGGAGTTACTGAAAGCAGAAATGAACGAGTAATTATTTAATGTTTCATGTTTAAAGTTTTGAATTACAGAGAACATAGCGATAATGCCTGTTCTAAACAAGCTGCAATACCTCCTCAGAGTTACAGCTGCATTATTTGGGTAAATCAACAGAACATTCATTGTTTTGGCTTGCACCTTTCTTTTATTAGTAGTGGCAAACAGTAATTTTCTTAAAACCCGCTCCTCCTACTTATTTTTTGAACGTAATCATGCTGAAATTCTAGGCATCTCAGAATATTGTGTTAAATGGAATGGGGATCACGTAACACCTCCTCCTCATTATACCCGAAGATCAAAATTGATGGCAGTGACCGGTGACGGCTCGTGGCAAAATAAAACAGGTGTTCTGCAAATCCGAACTTACCTATTTTTTATATGTCAGTTCGATCCTGCGCTCCTTCTTGGCAGCAAATTTGTCGATCACCTTCCCGTTGAAATTTTCCATGGTCGAAATAAATTCCTTTTCAATGGACAGCATTGACAACACTGTAAGGCGATCCTGGGTCATAGTATTACGAAGAAAAGTCTTGATTCTTTTCAATGTTGAGAAATTTCGCTCAGCCTCTGATGTTGACATAGGAGTTGTAACAATAATGTCTAATAGCTTTTTTGTTTCTTTTAGTGTTTCCTCCAAAGTGTCTTGTATCAAAAATTTCAAAAGAGACAGAGTTCCATATAAATCTCGGCAATCATTCCGTGAACAAATAACAGACACCTCTGTATTTAAACGACTTTCTTTTAATTCGGGATAAGCCAAGCAGGTAGTTTCCAACTTGTCATCAGGAAACTTACCACAGTATTCTCCAAAGTGTTCTGGTAAAGAAGGGATGCGGCTACCAAATGATCTTTGAATAGAAATCTGTCATTTGCAGAATTCACTATATTGTTGCATACTTCTAATGCGGCTACTCGGTGATCGTGACTGCTATTATTACGTCGTCTCCTTTTGTTGCCTTGGGGTTTAGTGCAAATACTTTTGGCTTCATTTATTATGTCATCAATTTTATTCTCACGACAATACATTTTTCAAAATTATCGATAGCTGTTTTAACTTCCGCTGGCTCGGTTTTTCTCTTCTGCAACTGGTTGAACAAGATGTCGACGTGAGGCATGACATGATGAAAAAATGTCAACCAAAACACGAAAACAAATCGTTTAACATACGGCGAATACCGCAAGCGGCCTTGCAAACGGTTTGAATAGTGTAATTTTCTTCTTCCATGCATTCAATGAGTGAGTCTCTGTTCTCAAACACTACATTTATTGTCCGAATATTAAAATTCCAACGAGTTGTTGCTCCTTGCGGAATTTTTATCCCCACAATTCTGTTCAGTACATCTACGCGTTGAGGATAATTATTAAAAAATCCCGGGATATCTTTCAAATCCCCAAAGAACACCCGAACTTGAGCATTTGCGGAAGCAGCTTAGGACATAGTTAGGTTTAACTGATGCGCATGGCAATGCACATAGTAAGCAAATGGATATCTTTGTTCAATTTTTGCCTGTACTCCAGCATTATGTCCGCTGATTACCGCGGCTCCATCATAGCTTTGTGAAATCAGTTTGTTAGGGAAATTTCCTATTAATGGATCTACGACGCTCAAAATATGTCTTGTGAGAGTATCGGCGTCACATTTCTCGGGATTCATATAATTCCAAAAACGTTCTACTGGTTCGCCGTTAAATACGTATCTGAAAATTGTTACCAGTTGGGTTTTTCCCGAAATGTCCGTTGTTTCATCTGCTATTATCGCCAAATACGAGGCTCTGTTAAACTGTTTTATTATTTCTTCAAGGGAAACTTCAAGAATACAATCCAGTAGATCGTTTTGTATTTCTTTCGAAGTTCCTTTAAATACTGAAGCATTTTTTATGTGTTCACTTAAGGTTGTATCAAGGTCAACAGAAAAATTAATCAGTCCACGAAATATTCCCGGGTTTTGGGAGCTCTCGGTTTCGTCGTGGCTCCGTAGCGCCAATTCAAATGCTCCGCAAAATTGTATACCGAGCACCGACTGACCAATCAGATATCGTTCTTCGCATTAGATCTGTACGGATCTGTATAACGTGCAGCACATGCTTATGCTTAAATCGCCCATTTGATTTTGTAGAGACAAAAGCAAGCGCGTGCGGCTTGCAGAATATAAAAAAAGAAATTTGTTGACGACCTCAAGATAATCACCATAGAGGTCGCTTAGAGGTCAATTTTAAAATTCCATTCCCATTTTCGACAGCGGATTGGTGTAGATTTTGGTTTTCTACATCAGAGTACATTTTCATGCATGAGCTCAGGTGGTCATAACTGGCCCAAACTGACCTACTAGAATGACTAAAAGGTACACGAACAATACAAAAACTCAACAACCATTAATTGTTTGGGAAAAGTTCCTTCAAATGCCCAGGAAACCAAAAAAAAATTGTCGATGATCTCGAATATGAGCTAGATTATTACCGATGATGACCTCAGAGGTCAAGCAGAGGTCAAGTTTAAAACTTCATCTCCATGAATTGGTCTCAACTACAGTTTTTGACAGCAGATCCTACTAGAACTTGATAATCTACATCAGAGTACATTTTCATGCATAAGGCTAGATAGTCTTAACTGGCCCAAACAGCTCGACCTACTGTAACGTCTGTAAAGCGTAGGAACAAAAACAAAAACTTAGCAAGTTACAAGATATAAGAAAAAAGAAAGTTGATGACCTCATGGATGATATAGATGTCATTTGGAGGTCAAGCTGAAAGATTGATAGATAAGTCACTTTTTTCAGTTCATAGGTAAATTTTACAGTACAACCTACTGTAATAAGTACTAATAAAGGGTTCAAAATGGGTTTGACATGCCACCATTCTGTTTCAAATAATGTTCTAAGATGGCAACCAACCATCAAATATCAGCTTGCTAACTTGGCTGGTTCACAAAGCAACAAAGGAATAGAATTTGTATATTCTCAAACTTTTTGACGCTTTCAAACGTCTTTAATTATGTCTAAGACCGCATTCTCAATACTTCCTCAGCGCATGTTGGATCCGCTCTGTCAAAACTAAATCTCCCAAAATTATCCTGTGGAAATATTTACTTGACAACAAACCAATTTTGCGGATTAGTTAAATTCTTCCTCGTCTCGTTTGTTAATTAAACCATTTCGTGAAAATTATTCAGGCAATTTAAAAAGTTGGCCAAGCTGTCCTGTCTACGCATAGCTCTGGTGTAATTTGAATACTCAGTCTTTTTCGCTGGTTGCACGTCGGCTGTAAGCTGGTATTGCTTTTTAAATATTCTGCTTTGCTTCACTCCAAACGAGACAACTTCCCTACAAAGAATATTTATGTTGATTCGGATGTTAAATTTTTTCTACATCCGCCTATAAAGAACGTTTTATTTGCCCTCCGTTAATGTTTGTAGAGAACCGATCGACATTGACGGCTTTGCTACTTCGAAGCGACAAAGAAGTAAAAAACACCAAAACCTAGAAATAGTGATATTTGAATATCGACTATCCGTCCTCGCTCGTAACCGAATATTCGGCATCGATTACACATTTTCGAATGATTTCCTATGTGACGTGAAATGCCAAAACAAAGGATTCTTCCAGAAGTTCCGGAAATGATTTGTAATGAATACCGATGATGATCCTTCTTAGCCAAGTGAGGAGATAAATGTCCACAAAATCATTGTTTTTTGCTTAAAGGATGGAGAAAGATGGCAATGTGGAGAAAGATGCTATCCCAGATGAGATTGATCTTCATCAAAGAGTGGCAGAACCTTACAAGTGGTGGTTAAGAAACGTACAACAGTATCCAAAACTGACATGATTCGTCAAAATTTATCAACAAATTCTGAAAAAAATAATAATTTCATTCATCACAACATACCTCTGATAGGTTGATTCTTGAGTAATACGTGCTACTTTTTTGTTCATGATTTGGTATCCGGTATTCAGCTACATGGTTTACAATATACCGAATACCCAATAGTAACCGGATATACAGGGTGTTTCACAATTAATCCGACAAATTTTAGCCACATATGCACTGTTACGAAAAAAGTTGATTTCTCAAAAAGAAAATGTAATAACAGTCCTACAGAAATCGAGATGATAAAATAATTCAGTTTAACAGTTCACTTACTTATAAAAGCTGCTCAAAATTATTTCCATTGACTGCGTCTAATTCAATTTTGGCGCACTAATTCAAATACACCTCCTTCCTGCTGTACCTGAAGGCCCAAACTATCGGCAGCCACTGTGATTCGGTCACTCAATTCTCCAATATTCTGAAGTGGAGTACGGTATACTTCGTTTTTCAAGTATCGCCATGAAAAGAACTCCGGAGGATTTAGATCGGGGGACCGTGAAGGCCATGCAATTGGTCCACCCCTTCCGATCCAGTGCATATGTGGTTAAAATTGATCGGATAAGTTGTGGAACACCCTGTATATTCGTCGCATCCCTAGCAAAACACTCACTAAACAAAATAATAATATCACCTCTTGATACATAAATACCCATTTTGACGACAGTGATGCACCAAGGATCCAGAATTGTAGACGCGATTTTGATTTCGCTTTCTTGTTGTGATCGCAACAAATTAAAATTATACATAACGTTTTGTTCCCACAAGGTTACTACTATTGAGTTTGGTACAAGAGAATCTACAGATGACAATTTTGGGCTTTGTAAAACTGGTGACGAATACAGTCACAGAGGGAAAAGTAAAGTTGTATCTGAAGAATAAATAAGAAATATTGAAGTGAAAAAGCTAGATACTCACTATAAAGGGAAGAATAATGCATGTTTTCTTGTTGGGGTCAGTTTCGGTATTAAAAATGGAATACCTTAGAGGTTTCTGGCCACCTGCTTCAACTTCGTAACCGGCCAACGATTCATATAAGCAGGAGTAGCAAAAAAGTCAAATGACTTTCAAACACCAACAAAAAGCTTCGACTGAATAAAGTTTACCCCAAATCAAACACCATTACACATCCTCAAACTACGAAGACCAGAGATGAATATTAATGTATTAGGAATACATTTAGATGAATTTCAGTCTTGACTCCACAAATATTTGTAGAACTGCTTTGGAATAAGAGTGTTGCCTAGGTACATAAATTCAGAACTGCAAAAATTATTTGTTATTCAAAAAATACCAGCAATGCGACATATAAATTTAATTGAAACATATAGAGGCGTATTTAATTCTATGGGTTTAATGACAGTGTCTTGATAATAGTAATAATAATAATAATAATAATAGTAATAATAATGATAGTGATAATAACAACAATAATAGTAATAATGATTTATTGATACTAATGCACAAACAGTGTTTAAACAGGCCAGTATAAGAATGCTAAGAGGATATTTAGAATCATAAGTACATCTAACATGAAAATAAAATTACATTTTGAAATGAACTGCAAAAAAGGAAACAAAATAAATGTATAAAATACAACAAACTGTACACGTGTAGACAATTAAGAAAGTGAATTTTAGAGGGTCCTGCACATTTCCAGATTTCGTTGGGGTGGTTGAAAGTTGGAGGACGATGGTTGTAAAGGGTGGGGACAGTGATCGTTGCATTTTTGATATCAATAAAAAATATCGATGATTAGGAAGCTACTCGTCTTGGTAACATCACGCTGTTGAAGATGAATTTGTTTTCTATGGAGCTTTACGATTTGCCATACTTAAGTGAACACACCTAGTCAAAGTTTCGAGGCTCTCTCAGTCTTGGTTCATTTTTTAAGGGGTGAGAAGTATTAGAGACTATCAACTTGAAGCTATTTCACTAATAGTAGATGCTTTACTCATATTTTATTAATGCGTATAAAGTGACAAACCTTCTTGACCTTCTATCGACCAAGTACGCTTCAATTGAAATCAGCTTACGGCAAGCATTAAATTGCTGTAATGCAAATTTGCTGTTCTCCAGAAACAATTGCTGGTAGATCATTGTGACAGATACATGCCTAGACGTGGTGGGCTGCAGTCAGGCTCGCTTTTGATATATAGGGTATCGTTCACGGTACATCAATCCCAGATTGATTGTTTCCGGATAGCAAATTGCACCACCCTTGATTGTATCAGTTCACAACCCTTTCCCTTAACCTCACCCCCTTTTCATTCCCACGCCTGTTTAAGCACTGGATTAAAGCTTCTTCCTATTATAATCCTGTCGGGGTGATTCTCATTTTCTTGATTAAATTTTGTGCTGCTCCTCAAAAAATCTGCGACCATGCATCCAGTTCTTGTGTAAATTTGCTGACATTAGATTATGTTTTGAGGATTTTCAGTGAATTTCAGAGTAATAAAATAGAAATTTATGTAACCAATATGAAAGGAGGTATCGAAAATGTCTAGTGCAAGTTCCGCTTATGCCACTTTGTCTACATAAAAAACGAAAGTATCCGCTCATATTTATAAAGCTAAGCTATCAGATAAGCATTACAAGCATTAATATTGGAGGGGAACATGTATTTTTTTAGGTTCGTGCACAATGTGCTGCTGTAACTTATGAAAACAGTATGTATTTGTATAAGTGTAAAACAAACAATGAAATGGATGATTCTAAAAAAAATGGTGCCGAGTAGGTTGATTCTGCACTTCCTAAGCAACGCTATCAAAAAGTTCATGAAGAATTATGTTCTCTGAAAAAAAGTTAACTAAGAACATGTATAACTAAAAAATTAAATGTATCAAGTTAGTCAAAAAGGCACAATTGGTATACGTTTCTGCACAGTTTTCATTTGGCCCACTGAGAAAATATGCTACCTCTCGGCTCTTCAAAAAGGCAGATACGCTTTCACACTAAGTTATCTCTCTAACCTCCTATAACCACCGATCTTTA